ACCTTGTGAGGGCTATGGAACTTAGCATAAAAATATGAAAACTTGTAGATTATTTCTTAACTTGAAGCTGTTGGTTAAAGGTGCGCGAGAGGAGTTAAACTTAATTTTAAAATGCCGAAGAAGAAACGAAATACCTTCGCAATGGGTCAATTTGTATTCGCGAAGATAAGGGGCTATGTTCCCTGGCCAGCTAAAATAATTGGTGTAGAAAAATACTTTTACCGCGTCATGTACTATGGCGATGGAAATCAAACAAATCGTTTAAAGCATTCAGCAATATTTGATTATGCGGAATATAAGGGCAAATTTGTTAAAAAATCCACGTTAAAAAATAAAAAATTCGCTGAAGGTATAGAAGAGATTGAACATGCTATTAAAACTAAATATGATAATAGTAGTGGCGATGATTCTGATTCCGACGACACTGAAGCTCAACTAAAAGGGCTTGATACTCAAACTCACCTAAAGGAGATTGAAACTCGAGATGAAAGCCTACAAGAAAAGAATTTTGATGTTCAATAAGTTTATAGATGATATTATGAAAAAAGAAAAAATATAATTAACTATAAAATACACACGTTTTTTGTTGTCTTACTTTTTTTGTTTTTATATAAAATTATTAAATATATTTAAAAAAATTTAATCAAAATAGATATTTTATAAAAATAAAACTTCAAAAGTACGTCACTATTCGTGCACTACAGAAAGCATTTACATAATTTTGGAGTTTCAGATTTTGTGAGGTCAGGTATTTATAAATTACAAGTATTTTAATTTGAATATTTTGCAGCTAAATACAGCTATTCTATAAAATCTATATAAGCCGGGATTCACGCTGTACTCATTATCTGATCTACTTCAGAGATACAATTTTGAAACCATTGTGCTTAGTTTCAAAAATTAGTTAATATTTTCTAACGAGATCTATGTAAGCGTTAATATGTTCTGGAATTTGTTCTTAGAACCATAGTAACCAGAATAACTATATGCTAGTTCGAAACTATATGTTTAATGATATTATTGCAATTAAAACAGTAGTTCTTCATTTAAAACATTTCCTCATTTCACATCACATATGTATATGAATTTGGGTATTTTAACATTCGATTCATCGGAGGAACTTTCTTTCTGCTATTTCGGTTTCAGTTGTAAAGATTGGTGGGAGACAATTTGTTGTGGATGTTAGCACAATATTTGTTTATAAATAACTAGTCAATTTACACTGACTCGGTATGTAAATAGTGATGCTGTCATGATAATTGATATACTGTATTCGCTTTGCAAGACACCAGTTACTAATTCAATATCCTAGCGATTTTGTTTAGGATTAAAGGTATATGCATCTTATGATATAATATCTTTTGTAAAAGAATATGTTGGGAATTTTATAATAGAAATATATCGAAGTTATATATAGTAGATGAACCCACCTCACTTTTAAATTGTCTAGCATGTCTCTATGTTAATATAGTTTTATTTTTAGTGCCATTTTCAACAAATTAAAGTAAAATATTATATTATATTTTTTAGTAATAATTTAATAAAATTCACCATATTTTTAAATAATATATAATATTCCTTTTATTATAAATCATTTAATATTAAAATTATTATATGTACATATATAATCCTTATCAAAATTAATATTATTGCTGACAAAAATAATTTAATTTATTTATTTGTTTTAAGAATGTAACATATCTTACAGAATATATATAAAAATTGTATACTTTATATGACAAGAACAGTTTATAACATTCGTTAATATATATTCACATATTCGTGTATTTCTAAGTTTATATATTATTGTATAATATATATGTATATAAAGTCGGCACGCAGTATCATAAAAGTTCATATTGCATATCGACCGTTTTGAATTTCACATTTCCGATGGGTATTAATATTAATGTAACATTTTTTTTTTTTTGAGGAATACCAGTGCTAAGAATCAGATTTCTTTCAGATCAAAGTTGAACTGAGTTGAGTTGAGTTTTAGGTTTCTTAAATGTACTTTTAAAATATTTCGTAATGTAGCAGTTTCGACTGTTTTACGAACGTTGATAGTATACGATATAAATTGTTTCTTGAAAAATGTGGTGTTTATTAAACTATGAAGTTAAGAAAGAATGGCTTATGTATAAATAATAACACAGATATGTATAAGATATATAAACCTTAACGCTACATCGATATTAGTCTCCGATTGTCTAGCAGATTTACAGGTTTAGTTATGTCGTGTGTACGGAAGATGATTCTCTAGCATGTAATGTTGGGATTGTCAATATTCTGCTATTGAGGGATTAATACATTAAATATATAATTTATGTTGAGTTTTGAAAGTTTGCATATATACATATATCCAGTTTGCATATATCCATTGTTTTTTAGCAATATTATTGTTGTTGATGTTCTACTAAAGAAGTTTGTTTATGATCGTTACATGCACAAGTATATCTGCAATAAAAAATTTTTACATTCTATTAGAATGATAAATGAAAGTATACAACATATCTAAAATTTCATATCTAGCAGCCGTTGTGAAATACTCACATCATTCGTTATGCCACTCGCATTGCAATGATTGAAATTTGGGTTAATTTTGTGCAGATTACTTTCATAAACAATGAAAATTGCAGCGGGTGTGCCATTAAATGATTGCTTTTAAGCTGCACCAGAATCTGAAGAATCATGAAAACATTTCCATCTCAGCTGTGCAGACGAAAACCTGCACTTATACCTGTACTTCTCGTTGCAGACATTTCGGATGACCACAAACAAATTGAACACCAGAACAAGGCATGGTGCGCAAAAACTCGTTTAACGATTTCGTGGTTAATGCTTTAAATTCTCTTTTTACTTTGCTTATGATAGACAGCAACAGTTCGTCCAACTGCACCGCTGCAGATATATCCTCCTGGCTTACTCGAAAGCAATATACAGTATATGTATTGTTACAATTGTGCACATCGCCTACGTTAATATTATAAATTGAAATGTCCCGCATGGTATGCAAATAAAAATGAAATCCCATTTTATAGATAATTTTGCACGTGTGTCAATGCTGCAGGCCAAAGCGCGCCCACAAAGCAATAGACTACTTTCTTGGGTACGTATTCTCTTACAGCAGATTTGTGGCGTTGAAGGAAAGTATACATAGTTGGAATAATAGTTATTTAAAACTGAATGCATAGTTTTGGTATTGTTACATTTAATGTCAGCAACTACTAAAGAAATTTCACAAAAATGTTAAGACTAGCATTTGTACATGTTTATGCTTGCATTTATGTTCTACTATTATGTCATAAATACATATCAATCGCTCACACCAACAACCATGTTTGAAACCTCTACATGCCAGTATAGTGTGCAATGTAGAACAAGGAATAATAAAAGAAGGAATAATAGTACGTTTTCATTAACCATACAAAGAGCTTCCGTGCTTTTTCACTCATATGGCATTTACACCGGCCTCAAATGGCTCATTTCAAATGAGTCATTTAAAAGTGTTCACATTCGTTGTAATTCATTTGTTCTCATTTCGAACAGCTGATTTTTCGATTTGCTTGTTGATTTCATTTTTGTTCTGTGCCAAAAGAATGTTGGATGAATGTTAAATATACCTTCAAACCTTACAATATCAACTCAAAACTTATTTTTAGCTTCAATTAATTTATTTTTGGGAAGTAGAAGTTCAAAGAAATGCAACCACCAAATATTTCATTAACTTTTTTTGTAAATATGTCAAAAACAGCTATTTCAAACTGTCAAAATGCGACTAAAATTTTTATTTCAGATATGTTCATTGTATTTATTTGCATTTGGGACTTATATTCATTCTAACCTCGTTATACAACATGAGATCCAATAGATCGACGAGTATCGAAATAGTTGAAATGATGAGCTATATGAACTATACCGCGACATTGACATAGTTAAGCGCATAAAAATTCAGCGGCTTCGCTGGCTTGGTTATGTCGTTCGAATGGAAGAAAGTGTTCCAGCTAGAAAGATGTTTGATTCGGTACCCGCAGAAGAAAAATGCGGTAGAGGCGACAACAAGCAATTAATCAAGCTGACTGGCGGAGACTACTCGACGCGGCCAAGGACGACCCACGTCTGTAATGGCCAACTAAGTGAGTAAGTAACAACTAAGTATTATAACACATCCAGAATATAAATTAATAAATATACTTCGAGATAGTAACTCTGATGATGATTTAGAATTGGTAAATTTATTATTATTATTTTATTATAAACGAAAAAGAAAACTAGTATGCGCAAAAAATACAAGATATTCAAAAATAATTTCCGCTACTTGTAATTTTTAGTTAAATTCCCCTTTTCAGCGACAAACTACTGCGATACCTAATTTAGAAGTTCACCATTCATTAAAAAATGCATTAAATAATTGCGATTTACAATGTGCAAATACAATTTCTTACATGACACAACAATTTTTGTTTCCTCCATTATATCTCTAATAATAACATAAAATAAAATTTTAGGAACTCTAGCTCTAACTCTAGCTAATATAAAAGGTATTTAAAAATATTTGCACTTATTATTATAAAACTCTGTTTTCTAAAATTTATTTCGCGCTCTTATTTTTCAACTACTATTTTTATTTTATTTTTCAAAAAACAGCTGTTCCCACCAGACTTCACACACAAATGATCCATGAAAATTGTGTAAAGAGGGTAATCTTTTTATTTGGCTTTTTATTTGTGTTACGCTCTTAGTTTGTACTTGTATTTTACTCAAATTTTACTACGAGTAGCTCGTGGAACAGACCTACACACATCATCAAATCAAGCTGTAAGGCATGTAGTAAGATGAAAGCATTCATTCAAGCAAGCATTGAAAAGAATTATAATACAAAATTTTCTTATTGAGTCTGCCTTTATGTGTTTTAACTTCAAGTGGTAAAGTAATAATAATCCTTCGTTTCCTAGAAAACAATTAAACATCGGTGTAAATTGTGTTAATTTTTTAAAAAGATGATTCCAAAACAAAAGGTATTTATTATTATTTATTTATTATTACAAATTTCTTTACCGGAAAATAAAAGTTCTGTAAAACATGCGATTTATTTCTTAGAGCAAATTTTATTCATATTTTTCATGTTTTTGCCCATATTTTAAGTCCATTGGATGTACTAAATATATGCATATGGATTCCTGTTTAATTTATAATCGTTCAATTTCTAAGACAATATACATACATATATCTACTTTTATTTGTTCAGAAACAGCTAAACACGTGAATTTGAAGAAATTAAATATTATTTATAATGGAATGATTTGAGGTTATGTTTTTTTTTTACAAAGTTTAGTAAAGCAAACCATTTTGGAAGTAATAAATAAAATTAACTGATTTAGTTAAATGTATGGCTTAATATGTTTTAAATAATTTAAATGAAACATATTTAAAATATTATAAAAATATGGTTTGGTGGTTTGATCCATATTTTTTTAGATTGGTTTATGTGCCAGTAGAGAAGAGAATAACTTAATTGGAGGCACATGTTTCAATCGTTTGTCTGACTTTTTATTAAATAAATAAAAATACTAATGATAGAAACTTATAAATTTAGGTGTCACATACAAATATATTTATCAGGGATTAATAAATTATGCATTTTCATAATTATTTGTTGCGCTCATCACATGATAATGACTTGAGAAGTCAGTTGATATTATTTTGTGGCTTTACGAAGCTAGAGAATATGAAATAGATGTTATGGTATATTTTATGCCAGTTTTCTATATTAAGTCATGATTTATATGGTATAGTAATCACTCATGTAGACTATTTATAACGTTGTATTTAAGTTAAATTAATTTAATTGAGAGTTAAGATATATTTGGGGTGTAGGCAAAAAGAAAAGGACATTCTAGTGAGATATAAAATTGTTGCTATATATAATACAGGACTATATTCTAAAACGTGTGTAGTCAATAATAATAATGTAATAATATGAAAACTATTTCTTTTGTTTTTTAAAGGACGCAGCACTTGGAAAACATAACTATTCCAAAGGGGATATTGTATTGGCCTGTTTTCATGATGGAGTATACTACAAGGCGAAAATTATTCAGCTAGCTGGCGATGGGTTTAGTTGCATTGTAAACTACATAGATTATAATGAAGTATATTCAGTAGGTTTCGAAAAAATAAAACCATTAAATATCGATACTTCATTAAAAAATAAAAAAGTTTTGGTTAAGAATGATGTTCCACATCGGAATAAAGATCATACCGAAAAAAAATTGAAAAAAGATATCAAAATGTTTGAAGTATGTAAAAAGAAATTTCATGAATCAGATATGGTCTTAGCTGATAACCATATAACACAAAATCTACAATATTTAGTTGGAGATAAAGTAATGGCTACATATGATGATGGGGTTGAATATATTGCCGAAATTACTAAGATTGGTGAAAATGGCAAGTGTATCGTAAAGTTCATAGAATATAATGATTTGTACGAAACAAGTGTTAATGAAATAAAACATACTTTATATAAAAGTTTGAATAAACCTGAAGATCACTTAGAAGTTGTTTCAGCTCTTAATGGCTCTCATCAAGGCACTATCAAAAAAGAATTCGCAGAAAATAAATTAAGAGTTTCGTTAAAAGATAAGCGTTTTAAAGAAAGCATTGATAACATGATGTATACAAAAATAATTAGACGAAATGAAAGTCCCAAAAACTTTTCAGATATTGGAAAGACTAATAAAGGAAACACTGTTAGAGTATCACATGACAATAGAGAACTTCGTGATGCACAAATTGTAAAGCTACCGAATCTATGTAAAGTATATTCAGAGGACATAAACAAAATATGTGGTTCAAATATACAAAATAATAAAAGGCATCTAACAACTAAGTCACTTAATAAGTTAAGTGAATTTGTGGACGTCATGAACGATAAAAATGGTGTTATAATTAGAGACATTCAGTCTGATGGCGTTATGCACCAAACTTCCGGTGATGACAGCAAAACAGTTTTCAAATTTGATAAAACTGAACTATTTAACTTCCGAAAAGGAGATCATGTTCTTGCAGCTTATACTGACGGGGAATACTACCCTGCAAAAATTGTTAAAATTTCTAGAAAAAAAAATTCATGTAAAGTCGTGTACACCGAATACGATGATACTTTATACAAAATCGGATTCAACAAAATTAAATCAATTGATGTGAAGAATAAATCAATTACTAAGGATAGCAGTTCTAAATTTACAACTGCATTTCTGAAACATTCAGCTCAACCTCTTCAAGTAAAACATTCATCAAATACATCAAGTGATGCCAAGGATATTATTTACTCAGCTGGTGACAATGTATTAGCATTTTACAATGATGAAAAGTTTCCAGCTGTTATTATAAGTATGTTAGCAAATAAAAAATGCATTATAAAATATGATGACACTTATTACGGCGAATTATATGAAATATCATTAGAGGATATAGAGCCTAATAAAGAAAAAAATTTTAAAAGTTGTAATTTTAAGAATGAAAAAATATTGGTTCGAAAATCGGAACAAATATCTGTTATACCTGAATACTCTGAAGGTGAGGAGGTATTTGTTAAATATGAAGATGGTAAATATTATAAAGCGATAATAGTAAATATTTTCTCAAATTCCAACTCTTGTGTAGTAAAATACATTGACTACGATGAGTGTTGTGAAATGAGTATGAACAACATAAAAAGAGTCGATGAAATATCTGATAATGACACTGAATCTCCTATCACCTCAAATAAAATTGAGGTCCAAGACTTACTAACAAATGATTCCACAAAAATGAGTGTAAAAAATTATATTCCTGAATTTAAAATTGGACAAAAGGTTCTGGCATTACATGAAGATGGTGAACTCTATTTAGCAATAATAGTAATTATTTTCTCAAATTCCAACTCTTGTGTAGTAAAATACATTGATTACGATGAGTATTGTGGATTGAGTATGAACAATATAATAAGAGTCGATGAAATATTTGATAATGACACTGGAACTCCTATCACCAGAAATAAAATTGAAGTCCAAGACTTACTAACAAATGATTCCACAAAAATGGATGAGAGAAATTATATTACTGTATTTAAAATTGGACAAAAGGTTCTGGCATTACATGAAGATGGTGAATTCTATTTAGCAAAAATAGTAACTATTTTCTCAAATTCCAACTCTTGTATAGTAAAATATATTGACTACGATGAGTATTGTGAAGTGAGTATGAACAATATAATAAGAGTCGATGAAATATCTGATAATGACACTGGAACTCCTATCACCACAAATAAAATAGACGTCCAAAAATTATTAACAAATGATTCCACAAAAATAGATGAGAGATATTCTATACCTGAATTTAAAATTGGACAAAAAGTTCTAGCATTACATGAAGATGGTGAATTCTATTTAGCAAAAATAGTAACTATTTTTTCAAATTCCAACTCTTGTATAGTAAAATATATTGACTACGATGAGTATTGTGAAGTGAGTATGAACAATATAATAAGAGTCGACGAAATATCTGATAATGACACTGGAATTCCTATCACCACAAATAAAATTGACGTCCAAAAATTATTAACAAATGATTCCACAAAAATAGATAAGAAATATTCTATACCTAAATTTAAAATTGGACAAAAGGTTCTGGCATTACATGAAGATGGTGAGCTCTATTTAGCAAAAATAGTAACTATTTTCTCAAATTCCTACACTTGTTTAGTAAAATACATTGACTACGATGACTGCTGTGAAGTGAGTATGAACAATATAATAAGAGTCGATGAAATATCTGATAATGACACTGGAACTCCTATCACCACAAATAAAATTTACATCCAAGAATTACTAAAAAATGATTCCACAAAAATGGATGAGAGAAAATATATTACTGAATTTAAAGTTGGACAAAAGGTTCTGGCACTATATGAAGATGGTAAATTTTATCCAGCAGAAATAGTTACTATATCCTCAAATTCAAACTCTTGTGTAATAAAATATATTGATTATGATGAGTGTTGTGAAGTGAGTATGAGCAATATAAAAATAGTCAATGAAATATCTGATAATGACACTGGAACTCCTATCACCACAAATAAAATTTACATCCAAGAATTACTAAAAAATGATTCCACAAAAATGGATGAGAGAAAATATATTACTGAATTTAAAGTTGGACAAAAGGTTCTGGCACTACATGAAGATGGTAAATTTTATCCAGCAGAAATAGTTACTATATTCTCAAATTCAAACTCTTGTGTAGTAAAATACATTGATTATGATGAGTGCTGTGAAGTGAGTATGAACAATATAATAAGAGTCGATAAAATATCTCATAATAACACTGGAACTCCTATCACGACAAATAAAATTGAGGTCCAAGAGTTACTAACAAATGATTCCACAAAAATAGATGAGAAAAATTATATTACTGAATTTAAAACTGGACAAAAGGTGCTGGCATTATATGAAGATGGTCATAACTATTCAGCTAAAGTTACTGAATATGATGGTAATCCTAATAAAGTTGAAATAAATGTCAACAAAATAAAACCAATTCAGAATAAAGTATCTGATGATGTATCATTGAACACTAAAGAGAGTTTGAAAAAGAAATCTAAAGCAAAATATTCAGAAGATGATCAAATAATTGTTAAATTCGCCGACGGTAATGAATACACAGGCACAATATTTGAAATTATTGATGACAATTATGACTATTTTATTATAAAAAATGAAGATCAGAATACGTTTGCAAAGGTTCATGTAGAAGATATTTATCCCAGAGAAGCAAAACGTTTTCAAAATAATCATTCGACTAATTCTGAGACAGAAAATAAAATTACGTTGCCAGAAGAAATGTAAAAATCAGATACCTGATTTGGAGGAATCTTACGGCAGCAATTTATATACCCCGGAATTAGCATCCTATTGCTAAAAAATGCTACCAAAGAATAATATTAAAGATATAAGTGAATTTAATCCAGATCCCGCAATACATAAAGAGAAATCTGTTATGGATTCTGGTATTATTAAGCAAATTGTCAGATGCGGAATCAAAGAAATCATGAGTAAGATAATTTAAACTCTTAGAATTTTTTAAATATCTAAATTTGGTCTATTTACAGATCTTAATAGTGTGGCAGTTTCTAATAAAAAAAAGCAACAATTTGAAAACAAATTAGAAATATGAAACCACATATATGCAATATTCTAATCTATCTTTTACGGCTTACAATCTAATTAATTGAACCTAATTAAAAATACACGATCAGGTGCTACAAATTTACTTTGGAATAATATTAATTACATTTTGTTATTTTAGTTATTTAGATTATTTTTAACGTAATCAAATTAATTTTAATTTAATATTATATTATTATAATGTTATATTATTATTATTTATTATTTTATATTATTTGTTTAAAATATATTAATTGTTATAGAAGAATTTGGGTTTCATTTTTCAGTTACCTTAATCCCAGTTAAAATAGCTAATCACATGGTTTCAGCAATCTTATTATAACGGTTTGGAAGGTAATTAAATCCCTAACCAGCTTTCGAATGGAAGTCTTCTAATATATGTTACACCAGATCAGTACTTTGAAACATCAACAATAACTTTTCTACAAAGTTGTGGCCAAAACTGATGTGTGAATGTGGTTCAAACAACCTAATTAATTAATTGATTAATTAATGTTAATTAATGTAATTGGTTTCTTAATCTAATTAATGTATAAATCTGAACTTATATGCATCACTAATTTTTACAATACTACTTATCAATTATGGGACTAAAAGGCACTAAGAAATGTAAATTCTGTAAAATAAACATTTCCTCATCTTCTCTACGCATGCTCTGACATTGTCAATAAACAATTCTAGTACCTCATCATCCATATTAATTAAAAGACTTTATGATTGCAATAGTGTGTAGGACATATTTTTAAACAATCACAGATTTAGTGGTGAATTATAAAACATATATAACTTATGTCTGTATGATATGTTTACATAGCTAAAGATTATACAAACATATAATAGAAATGTTTTTCTTTTTTATAAAATATGGTACATATAATATAAAGTTTGTTTGGATAATGTATACAGAACACGACGAATTTGCTTTTATGGATTTCTTTTGAAATTTAATTATGTGAAATTTTCAATAGAATTTATTTTCTAACTTGTGTGCATTTGCGATGAATTGTAAAGAATTTTTATGAATGCACTCTGAAAATTTTTTCTATTTAGTGTATATCTTGCACAATATATGCGTTCAAAGTTGGAGATGAAAAAGGAAAAAAATATCAGTTTATCATCACATCACATCATATTCAGTTAATCTTAAGATAGACATAGAAAGAACCCATAATTAATCTCATCAACCAATATAAAAGGATAGAGATAGGTGACACTAATACCATGCAAATTAACCCTATAATTTTGTCTGGTGTTAGATTTTTATATAAAATGTTAATTACGAATTTACTAATCATTGAACTACTCTAAAATGTGTTTAATAGTGTCTTTGTACTAATCTTAAACTCCAGTCAATATACACATATCTCATATACTCATAACTATTAGGTTTTTATAATATATGTTAATGTAATGTAATATTTTGTTTCTCTACTTTTTATTTTTATTATAAACGTTATTATAAACAATTTTAAGAATAATATTGATTGATTAAGAAAAAATATGTTAGTTAGTATAAGAAACAACAACAATAAAGCAAAAACAGTTGTCACCAGAAATTCATTGTATCTGGAAGACAAGCATGAAAGGACGTAATTTTTTTATATATATTTTTGTAAATGAACTAATAGATACATTTTAGATTATAATTTAATTGTATGTATCAAAATCTCATTTGTTATGTGAAAAAAACAGACAATCTTCTATAATAAAAAACACATTGAAACTTCCATAACTTGTGAATTTTGCAAAGAAAAGGTTCGACTTATGGAGACTTCGAGTTAGAGAATTTTTTTATTGTTGGTAGAACTAGAATTACATTTTAAGATATTTCTTTTTTTGCAATCAAATAAAGCACAAAAGTTATAGTGAAGTATAATATTCAGAAATTAGAGTTTGGGACTTTAATTTTTTTCTTATTTTCAGTAAAAAGAGATTCCACTTTATTCATACTCTTATCACTATCAGTTGTAGTATCATTCGTTTACAAATATAAATTTAGAATTTTGAATGAGTCTTCTACTTCATTCTTGGAAGGCTGACAAACAATTACATACACCGTACCCTCATCATCACTTTCCGTTGCGCTTAGAATTGGATCCAGTATTTTAGAGCTCTCTATAATGCTTAATAATATCATCATCTGTAGGAAAGCTTGATGTATAAATTTCATTGTAAAACATAATATTATCATAAAGAGTACCATTGGAAGTTATTTTATTTACTTTAAACCACGCTGCCAGCGACTGGCACTTGCACAAAGAAGCAACATAAAAAAGAAAAAGTTAAACATTTGGATCGGAAAAACAAAAAACAAAAATTCGACATATAGAATGCACTTTCCCCATATTCCTATCGGTACTGAACAAATTTTTGTTCGAGATATAGAGAAATTCGAGTTATAGAAATTCGAGTTATGGAAGTAGAATTGTATGTAATTTGCTCTCTAAAGCCTTGGTGCACGGTTTTTGGTTCGAGTTATAGAAAATTCAAGTTATAGACGTTCGAGTTGTGGAAGTTTAACTGTATACGTCTTCGACTATTCTCAGCTTTAATTTCTTAATATATAAATCTTCTGCGAAATTAATTCCTTTTATAGTGAAGGCCCGAAAGTAACATAATTAATGTTTCATCATTCCTTTTTGCCCTCAAACTTTCAGCCTATAAAGATCTTTACTTAGTGTTTTCAACAGAACTGGCATTATTCCTTATTAACGGAGGAGAATCTTTGTTCTTGTGTGGTTTATTATCGGGCAGACTTGTTTTGACCTGCAGCAAGTTTTTTCAGTCAGACTCTGACTTTGCAGTTATTTTTTGTCAGAAAAACTGTTCAAAGGTAGATACAGAGATTTGAAATCTTCTTTAATTTCATTAGCAGCCCCAGCTACCATATTTACCTGTAAGTCTCGGATTATTACGTAGGTGTTCTTTCAATAGTTAAAGATTTGCAGTGGCAGATACTCGTATCACATTTCAACAACTTACTTGGGAGTATTGACATTTTTCGCATTTCAGTTTTACTTCCATATCAATTGTTTATATTTTTTAGAAGTTACATTGCTTCATGGAGGCTGTAGTTGGTACATTCTTTGGTGAAGATTAACAATGTGTAAAATGTTTCACGCGATACTGAAGACAGCCTCTTCACACCAAACAATGAAACTTAAAAATCAAGCACTACCAACGGCTGAACAAACAAACGCTGTTGACAAATGTTGCATGAGTTGGACCAAGAAGCTGTGCTGTACTGTGCTGTTCCCATATATAGAAAGAAGGAAAAATCTTACAATAGTGACTCGTAAATAACGGTTACGTGAGTGTTTTACTATTCTTACTTTTGTTTAGATACTTCTAAATGATTTTAACATATTTTTTTTTCTTTAGGTTTTTGGTTACTTTTTCCGTTAGTAAATTTCATTGCAAATGTCAGTAGAAGAAATTCCTCTTTCGTCTTGAAAAAATAAACAAAGCAATGTGTATAAATCAACTCTTAAGAGGTGTTAGATTGTTTCAGCAGGACGGAAAGTCTCTTAGGTGTGTGTTAATCATTATGTGAGTATGAAAATGTTTATTGCTGAAAACTTTAAGTTCGAAATTCTTCACTTCTCATTAGTGAGTTATTTACTAGTTATATTTACTAGTTAAAGTGAACGCAGAAAGCTTCAAGAATCCACATAATGGAAATTGTTAGACATTAAAGTAAAATATATCTATGAAAATTATTATATAAATATTTTGTAGATACTTTAAACTAATTTTTGTCTTTTATAGATAATAACTCTTTTGCAAATTCATGGTTTTCATTTAATAGATACTTTACCAATCAGCTTCTGGCATATACTAACCCGTCTTAAACAGCTGATCTGTTAACAAGCACTATCTTTCTTAAATAGTGTTTAATAAATAATCATGTAAATTTGCATCGGATAAGTGCTATAAACTATATATGTTCTTATAGCTCTCCAAAATAAATTATGTGTAAAAAATGGTTACTTAGTAGACTTAGTAGACCCCCAAGTTATGAAGTTTTTTTTTAATTTGCTTCAGTAGCTTTGTTAATAAGAAAGATTGTCACATCTCAAATATGGTAATGCGAACGCAAAGGTGATCTACCTGGAACTACGGCGGATTAAAAAATATACTACTTGTTGGTGTTTATAGTCTGGTATATCACATAATAGTATAATCGATAAACAAGAGTAACTGGTATATCTGTTTGTGGGTGAACATCTTCTGTAAGGCTTTTAATTTTAATGAAACTATGCTACATATTACACTTCAAAAGAAATTAATTAAGTATTCGATGTTTATATTAGCATTATTTCAGCATGCAATGATCCGTTCAATTTACATGCAAAACAATAACAATGGGGTGCAGCAGTTCAATTACTGGTTTACCCCGTTCTTATTGTTTTGTATATAAATTGAGCGGGGATTAATGTTTGCTGAAACGCTGCTCAAACATTGAAGCAAAAATAATATATTCTATATATAGAATATATTATTTTTGATTCAAATCAAAGAACTTTAAAATAACATACACTTTTTATATATATTATTTGATTTTACTGTCAAATAATAAACTACGATATAATTTTAATTGAAAAGATCAGGTTTGAAAAGCCCTCAGCTATGTGATTTATAGACTTGTGTAAGTTGGTGCTAATATTTTTTAAACTTCACCTAAAAATACTGATATAGTACAGACAAAAAAGAATTTACTTTTAAAACATATTTTGATCATTTAAATATTAAATCTATTTATTTTTTAATTAATACAAAAAAAAACTATTCAAACATTGTCCTGTTTTTTTTTGTAGGCCGAATTTTAGCAAAAGTATGGATAATAACTTACCTTTAATAATTTGAATACTACTGTAATAAAGCCGAAGTTTGTCGAATACTGGATATTGCAGACTTCAAAAATAAGAATTTATGTTTATCTACTTCGAAACGGAATTCGCATATCGTTCTCATTAATAATATAAAATAAAAAAGCTGTATACTACAATGCAGGAGTTTCGTGTCATAATAGAAATTAATGATGAAATTGATGAGGACGATGTCCGTAGAACGGGGCTACAGAAGAGGGTAAGATTTAGGGATAATAGATCAAGCAATTTGCAAGTGCTCAACAATCGAACTTTGCTATTCAAAGATTTGGATTCAAAAAATGTACGTCATTTTCGATTTGATCACGTAGGTTACAATTCGGATTCATCAAAGGATAATAATATTGATGAAATAATGGATCAATTGTTATTAGAGCGACAACCGTGCTGTCTTATGAACATAAGACAATTTCGCAAATGTCAAATAGAATTTTTAGTCAATACTCTTATTTATGCTTTGACTAAAAAATTAAAATTATTCCATCTTGAATTAAACTCCATAAAGTTGGATTCCTATATTGACGTACGTAAAAATGATTTAGTTAATTTATTGTCAAGTGAAAAAAAACATAGACATAAAAGCGGGTCACAAACGAAGTTCACTTTTAAAAATCTTGGCGAGCTAAAAAGTTGGCTGGAATATGGTTACTTGAAATTGTGGTCAATTTGTAAAGAGCACGAATGCTTTGATTTCAGTTTTACAGTGTCAGATGTAAAAGGCACAAAATGTAATGCTCAACTATCTTTAGTAAACTTCTATTTGGATTTAATGGATTCGAATACGCAGTTTATCCTCGGGGCTATATTGGAAAATCATAAACGGGAGATGAACAGCACCACATTAACTGATTTCATAAAAGACTATTTCAACTCAACTTTTCCTGTTTGGTCCGTCTACATGATATTCAATATACCAGCGATTCCAGATAATACGGCTTTATGCGAGAATATACTAAGATTAGCTTCAGCTGCTTACTTCGGCATGTATGCGTTAAAATCAAAGGCTTTGGTGAGTGTATAAATAGTCATATTTTAGTGTTTTATGGTTATATCTGTGCGAAGCCGTTCTAGTTGTTCCAATATTTTTTACTTTTTCGTTCCAAATGTTTAAAATCAACTATACTGGAACTGTTCAAGCTCCGTAGATCACAAACACTTTGAAGTAGTATATTTATTAGATATAAAATCTTTTTTTTATTTTTAACAAATACTTTTGTATTTTACATAGGATTCTGCTAGTTTAACAAGTCAGTACGCATTTCTGGTATCGTCATCTACAAATATAAAGAAACAAGAATCGGAAGTAGTTCCAGAAAAAAGTGTAATGATAAGCAATGAAAAAACTGCAGTCGATGTTTTAAGGGATAGAATAGATGAGAAGTTCAATATTGTGATGGATATAATGCAAAAGTATTATGAACATAAATTTAGCAGTCAAATTGAGGAATTGTGTTATGAAATAAAGAATTTAGTTTATGAAAAATCTACAAAGTCGGACACAATGATCCAACGGAAGGAAAAGATACGTGAGGAAAGACAACAGATTGCGGAAGAGTATCATGAATCTTTAATTGCATTTCGAGAAGTCGAGTTGAAAGTGTCACAATCGCAATATGAGGCTATACTTCGGGATTATTTGGAAGAAAAGAAATATGAGCTAAGGACTTACGCACTTCAGCACAAAGTAAAGCATTTGGCAAAATGTGAATCCAGCGTAAAGGATACTATAGATGCTGAAATTTTTATGCTGAGTAGCGCATTTGAAGCAAATGAACAAGAACATAAAATAATAATATGATTATTATTAAAGTATGTTAAGTTATTTAAAAGATAAGTAAACTTCTTAGAGTTAAGAAACGAAAGTAACTAAAAAAAGTGAAATCTTGAAAAGAAATAAATCTTAATAAAGTGACAGGCTAATTCGGTCTATAAATTATTGAGTTTATTTTTTAAATTTATTTTTGTGCAGTTTATAGATATAAGGGCATTGCTTGTACTAGATCTGTTTCGATTTCATAGCATTGTAAAACCACGCTCAGTTTTATAATGGGTGTAGCCAGAAAGCGAGTCAAGGAATTAAAAATTGCTCGTTATAAAAGCTGGAGAACAATAAAAAATGTTATTCAAATAAAATAAACAATGAAGTTCTTCCGCTCAATATCAATACTACTTAAAATATAGTAAATCATAAAATGGGATGCATTACACCTGGCTCAAGCCTTTGAGCTCGATGTATAAAATGTTCAATCAATTACCTCAAGGGTTTACTCTTTATTTTAATATATTACTTGGGGTAGATTTTTAGTGGAGCATCACTTCACTAGTTGAAGTGCCTCATAATAAAAAAACCATGAGTCGAAATGAGTTTAATAATATATGTTAACTGTGAATTAATAATTTTTTGGATCCGTTTTGCTAAAAGTTAAAGTTATGTATATATATTTTAATATACGATAATTATTTTTAAAGACTGTTAAGCAAACTAATATAATTGTATATCCAAATATTATATTTCAATAGATAAATATATATCATTTATGATATATAAAGCCGAGTATAAAAGAGTAATAAAATAAGGTACATTTTTTATAGATGCTTTGATGGAATCACCACATACGGCGGTGGGAACTGTGTTATCACGGACAAATGTTTCGATAGCTATTTCTTCAATAACCGAAACATCTGCATTAAATAGAAAATCTATTATAGATCTTTAAACCTCGATTTGTAGTCTTATATAGCAGAGTTTTAATATCGGAAGACATCTTAGGAATACTTAAAAGCACGTATAATGATAGCTGTAAAAGATAGTGAGTCAATTAGAAAAAACAGCCATATATGACACATTCTTAGATGCTCAAAATGTGACTGAGAAAATTTGGCTTAAAAAACCAAATTTTTTCTTTTATAAAATGTAGATTATATATAACACATTTATTGAAAATCGACTTGTCGTAATGTTCTTTTCAAAATAGTTTATATGAGTGTACAAAAAACATAATTCTATAACTGTGGCGTGTAATATTGGTATTTTTAAGTAAACTTTCTGGTATTTTCTGGTATTTACAATTATATTTTGCATTACAATCGTTCTATAATTCTTCCAAATTTTCAGTTAATTCCCCATAATTGAATATTATAATTCGCAAGCGTGTTAAAAATGCAATTATAGGCTAATTGTTAGTTTTTCAAGATATTGCAGACGGTTTTATATATGTAACTGCATTCCTTTTAGTAATTTCCGTTTGTTAAAGATTTATGTTCATCAGTTGAACTGTTTCTATATATTATATTTTAATTCCTTAACTTGTGATATATAATAATAATAATAAAAAGCCTTGCTCGACGTCAATGATTTCAAGTAGCCTTTCATACTGGGCATAGGCTGTCTATAAGACGCTTCCACCTTACGCGCCGCATCGCTACATCCTATATATGAGTAATGTTGCTTATATATCAACAATGTTGTTATATGAGATATATACTTACTATTAAGTGTTACTGTTGAATTTGTTGTTGTTGTTGTTGATGATGATAATGTTGTTGTTGTTGTTGTGATTTTAGTTAGTGCTATTGTGCACTTTTACTCTTTTGTGGCTTGGGGGCTTATCCCTGCCCCACACTAAAGTTTAACTATACTAGAATCATTATCATTTTTTTTTTTTAACTGATGACGGACCGTAGATCTTCCTGTGCGTCCTGAGGTGAACTTAAGGTTTGTTAGAGCGTGGTTGGGCAACGTATCAACTTTTATGAATAATTTTAGGGCTCTGTCCTTGATATACTTTCTCACTGAGTTGATTCTTAGATCTCTATGCATGTCTGTTGTTCTAATATACCAAGGAATCTTAATAAGTCTTCTTAAAGCCAGATTTTATGCTATCTGTAATTGCTTTATAGCAGTATTTGAGGCTTTGCTGTAAGTTACACATCAGTACAGTAGTGAATTTGTATCACTTTCTATTAGAAAAGCAAGTGTTGTTGAGTTGGTTTCATTATATTTTATATGCCAATATCTCATCTATAATGATTTTTTATTTACACATTAACAATTCTTTCGAAAAATATTATATCAATTTATCCAATTTATCGAAGTGAATAAACATGACTGTCAATAACTGCAAACTAACTAAACTAGTCTGTAACAAATTTTTTATTATATTGCGTGTCGTAAATTAAATATGCAATAATTGATATTTTAATATTTTCATTATATTAAAGTTGTAATGTTAATTAAAATTAAATAATGTGAAGCGTCCTTTGCACTTAATAAATTCGTAATTGTAAAATAATTGAATGAAATTAAATAAAATCTCATGAAATTACGTTAATGGCTTTGTAAATCCACAATTGCAACGTAAAACTGCAATAAAAATGCAACTGCAAAACTATTGCATTTAATGAACGAGTTTCTGTGCGTTTTTGTGAATGAAACGCAATAATATAGTTGGCAATATTAAAATAAATACATATTTTATTTATTGTTTTTTAAATTTATATATTTAATTACATTATTGTGGTTTCCAGTGTAAATGGTTTAGCAACGTTTGACACTACTGCAATGCACCACAAAGCAACCACAAATTTATTTCTGCACAAAATGTATTTGGGTTTTGATGTTTAGATTGGAGCCAATATTCAGTTTCTAGGCGTAGAGTAACTTTTATAAGGATGAGGACGTGTATTGGTTTATTTATTCTGAATTTGTTTATTTTGTCTCATTTGCTTTAAGTTTAAATTTAACTAAAAGTATCTATTGATTTTGAAATTGAATTTCAATTATATTCCAAGGATAGAACTTCAAAGCTTCATATTTTCTTTGAGTGTAAATTTGCACTGAAAATTAATAATCTGAATTAACTTATATAGTAATAAAGTGAGATTAATCTCACCTCCGATATCAACTCGGAACATCTATTATCTATGGTGATGCTCTTAAAGTAGCTTGAAAGAAGCAAGGTACAAAACACTAAAAGAATAAAGAAAGAATAAAAACTAAAGAATAAAAGAATAAAAACTATAAGAATCCAGGAGCTATGATGATCAATTTTATTACATCTTATTTAGATTTTAAATAACATATTTATCTACATATATAAAAATGATGGATTAAAAAACCATACATCCAATCACCGTGAAAATTTGGGAAATTATTAGGTATAAATTTTGCAAATTTTTATTAAAATCAGAGTTGGGGTTCTAGGTTCATTTAATTAGTAATATTTTGGTAAAATCGTATTCTGTAATATAATTCCCAATATCATTTAAAACAATCTAGCAATCCTAGATTGTTAGATTGTGAGAAGTCAGTTTGGTTTTTACCTTCGTACAGTGTGTGTTTTAGTTTAGTTTTGAGTAAATATATTTAGTGATATAGAATAATTTATTTAATTTAATGTATTAAAATCAGAGGGAAATACGTTTTATTTCACACCACAATTATGCCATCAAAGCGAGGTGCCATTGCTCGAACTACAAATCAAGCAAAAAGGAGAAGAGAAGAACGAGCTTCAGAAACAAGAGAGCAGAGAAAAAGTCTGAATGCTGACTTGAATTTAAGTGGTTTCAATCACGATCCCCCTGTTGACGAACAAATCAACAGACGGTGTCAACTGAATAAAAGTACTAAACGGGAGATTGTCGCTGAATTACAAAATTCAAAAATTTTGTAAAAATTTGATAATTTAATATTCGATTAATCGGAGAACTAGGGTTTTTAAAATATCCGAATACTATGTGAAAAGCGTTAGCTGTAACCTCTTATTTGTAGGATGATAGTTTACAGTAGTTTGTTCAGTTAAACACCAATCATAGATCATTTCTATTGAAATTCAAAAAACCTGTCAGCATTTTTGTTTTTGAGCGGATTAATTAGTGGATGTGGATTATTTTCATATTCGAAATTTCTAAATATTTATCCCGAAGAAATTCGGGTGTATGAATGTATTTAAAAAGTTCTCATTCCAAAACTTCATATATCATTACTGTGGAATTTCTGGTGTCTAACGAATGAGGTGAGTGTTACTTCTTTCGTACTTGGTAACTCCGATATATTTTTGCAGTATTAGATCAAATTGAAATTAGTGGTCCAAAATTGAAGAGACATATAATCAGGGAATTCATTAACATATAAACATTTTTTTAATCAATAATAAATTTATTAATATAGTTTAAAAGCATATTACAAAATTTTAAAATTAATGTAAAATTTTTCATTTTACGTTCACTTAAAGAGTTACTTTAAAGAATGTTCCACACAATTCTTTTGCTTTCACTATATGTTCCACTATTTCTGGAATATAAAGTTTACTCAAAACCGTATGTTTCTGGTTTAATGCAACAAAATGTGTTTCCTTCTTACTCAATTTAAGCTTGTTTGTTAACATTTAAGTCGTTACAGTAGTTAAAATAAAAAGTTTTTATGAAAACTCATTACAGTAGGAATTAAAGTCTGAGAGACCAGACGTCAAGGCAGCGTGTGATTTATGAATTTAATTTAAGTACCCCGAATCCTTCGAATATTTTTGTGCACATTCATTTCCGTGTTTGTTGCCTCCTAACCATTGCTCGACATGTTTTCGTTGTTTAATTGTAATGAAGTACTAAAAGGATAATGAAACTACAAATACATTGCACTTTGTATACTTTGTACACTACATTTCTGTCTCTATGAAGACAGTATTTTGTATTCTGCAAAATATTATTTAGAAGCATTTATTTTTTAATAACACAAACAAATATAATTTACAAACTTATTTCAACATTTGATTTGCAGAAATAAAATATAATACTTGTAATTTTTGAGCGAACTAATTGGTGATTTAATTAAACACTATAATTTATTATTATTATTATTGAAAAGAAGGGATCGTGCATGGCGACCTAAAAGGTCTATTGTACCCCTTAATCGGATTAGAGTGTTTCTCCAAGTCCGAGTTCTTTCATGAAAGACAGTATACAGCCTATCTTTCCTAGTCTTCGACATTATGATCCATGAAATACCTTCCTAGGTGTTTCTCCGCTTGTGTATCAGTGTCGGGTACTCCCTAAGCACATGGTAAGCACTTTCTCTAACTTCTCTACAGTATCTACAGTCTGAGTTGGATTGAATTCTTAACTTCGATAGTTGATTATTCAATCTACCTTTCCTAGTCTTGGATTTTACGATCCATGAAATACCCTCCAAGGTGTTTCTTCCGCTTGTGCATCAGTGCCGGGAACCCCCCAAGCACATGATAAGCACTTTCTCTAATTTCTCTACAGATCTACAGTCTGAGTTGGATTGAATTCCTGATTGTGCTAAGCAATCTTTGAAGCGTTTTAGTTTGTAAGAGCCTAAAAGCATTTTAGATTATGATAGTCTTGGTAGCCTCTCCCAACAGAGTTCTCTTTCTTTTTCCTCTGCGCCGTTTATAAGAATGGATAGAGTTTCTTTGCCTATACCACAGTATGGTTATGGGTCTTTTATTTTTGAAGTCGCACCTTTTGTTGCAAGTTTGTTTACTATTTCATTGTCTTGTATGCCAGCATGTCCCGGAATTCATAGTAGTTGCACCTGATTATTAATATTTAAACAAATTATATTTTATTAAAGTACTATTCCAATATTTCGACTATCTTCGGTAGTTATTTTTATTGAACTAACTACAATAGGGAATAGTACTTCACAAAAAATATTTAAATTTAAATTTAAATGATCAATTAGCAGCTCAAAAATGAATATAGAATATTTTTGGTCACCAATAAAAAAAAAAGAATTAAATATTTTGAGAATAAAAATATGGTATTATATAAAAAAAAGTCAGGTATTTATATCAAAATTAATATAACTATGAGGTTACCCATTACTTTCCCAAACTTTCAAATAATTTATTGCATCGGAGAATATTTTTCAAGACACTATTATATATTATATATTATATACGAATGCATAGCATTGTCTTTTTTTAATATCCTGTAATATAATTAGTTACTAAACATGAGGCGAAAACTGTTAATATTTATCAAGACACTTATTATATATTATATACGAGTTCATAGTATTAAATATGATTTTATTATACTAAGATATATACTTAATTAAATCAATTAAATATTTGGTTTTGAACCAAAATTAAGGACAAATATAGAGTTGCACCTCTGGTATATCACCTTTCATTTGAGCATTCTTGCTGTCATTATTTTGTTTTACGTACTTCTTGAAGCCAGCAATCAAGTGCTTTGATAACACATATAATACCTCGAATACAGCCATTATACAAAATCCAATGAATATGGATAAAATATTACCAACATTGCCTAAAAGGTTGTAAAAGTATAAAATTAAGTTATGTAAATTTAATACCAATTTTTACTTTAATTTAATTAACTCACTCAATCCTTCATACCAAGTGTTAGCAAGCACACGTCTGTAATACTTCGCAGTGGGTTCATTGAAGTACACACGTAATACGGTTAAATTTGGCCTTTCCAAAAGGCTGTCATTGCTTCTACTATTATTGAAATTTTGTCGGAAATACAAAAAAGATAATTTCATTTAGTAAATTATTTTATATAAAATTATAGATAAAACTTGGCATTATGGTCGCACACACCTAGCATATGCATAACGTTCCGTAGGTAAGGACAGCAAGGATATTTTATACTGCACATCGTAACATGATGGCAAACAAAATGGACAATAGAGTGCGTCCTCAGCTTCACGCTCCAATCCGGGTATGTTCACAGACTCAGTCAGTATGCTGCGCCATTTAACTGTGAAGATACATGAAAAATAAATGCTGCTATCATAAAACCAAAAAAGGGTTGCTTTTCCTACATATGGGAAGGCATAAAAGTAAATAGGGTTTAGATAAGCTTTCGTCACTGACGGTGTTCAGTGAGATACTCGTATCACATATTTTTATCTCACAACAATGGCAAGAATTAATTGCGTTAAAAAGAGTTGTCATTTTATGTTGGTTTCGTGTTTTTAATTGTTTGCTTGGCATAAACTTACAATCGTAACGCAGCAGGCATGTTATATGCTGTAAATTACAATACATCATACCATCGCGAAAAGTTACTCCGACCAACTCCAACGGCATGAAAAACGGCAGGCAGCCACATAAAGCCATGATACTTCTGATGCGATAGCGTGTAACACAATTGACGAAACTGTAGGGATATTGTCTGTTAGGACTTGGTGGACTGGCTGTTTCTTCATCGAAGTAACATTTTCGCTGAAGTTTAATGAAAAATATATGATACATATGACCTTTACTGAATGAATTATTTGGTAAAAACTTACATTTTTCGAATGAAATTGTCGTAAATCGTCATCAGTGTCGATGACTCGTGCAGAAATTGGTACAAAAGATTCTTGATTAAATGTAGGAAATACTACTTGACTACCACCTGATGATATATCAGCGAAATCATCAGGATTATGTACAATTACGACATAGCCAATAATATTTAAAATGGTATTAAACTCATCCAAGATGCTACTATTCAACAAAAGAATTAATCCTGACCCAGAACCAACGAAACGATTTTTATAGTTCCTTTCCGCGTAACTGTAAAATAAAAAAATTGAAATTATTTTAATTATGTATAAAACTATATATCTGCATTATATTGAGATTAATATTAAGCAATGAAAATATATATATAGTACGTGTCGTTCAAAATAGCATAAATATGGAAAGGGATGAAAAGGGAAAAAGGAAACCAAAGACCTTGCATAAAAGTAACTACATACAACTAAAAAAAGTTGATACAAGCAAACCCGTAGCAAAACTGAGTCTGCAGACAGCTTATCTAACCTATCTATGGCCATCTATTTTTAATTGTCATTCTAATTAAGTCACTGCTCAGGAAAGCAGAACTGAGCCTTCGAGATTATTGAATGTAGATTAGTAGATTATTGAACAAATCATAATGGCTTGAACTTTCATCTGAACAAGATAGGTGTGTTGTCGGAACAGTTAGATTTCTGGCTAAATTATGGCGAAGAGTACTGATGAAAAAGCTTATGTGCCTATTTGATGTTAGGATATCATTAACGAGAGATATTCTGTCCATTTTCCAAAAGGCTGACTAAATTTTATTCGGTTATGGTTACGAGCACAAAAATTGATCATATTACAATACTTCGATCGAGTTGGAACCGATGTTCTTATATAAAGGTGCACAATTTATGACTATATTATAATGAATTATGTATAATTCTTTATATATTAATTCTTTATATATTAATTAAAATTATTTATTTTATTAAACAATATTTTATTTTGCGATTGTGAAAAATATTTTAATAAATTGACTTACGTATTATTTAAATTAAATGTACAACATGGTCCAAACATTGTTTGACTATCCTGAAAGGATATCTTTGTGAAGCAATCAATTTCTTTACCCGCTAACCAGCATCTTTGTATAAAATTTTTGCAACTGGGTGTGAGCTTAAATAAAATTTAATTATTTAATATTTAAAAAATTATATAAAAAAAGTTTTTTACAAACCCTTTGCATGATTTTGCTCATATTAAAAAAACTCTCGTTTTCTGCAGTTTCAAAATTATCGAGAAATGCTTGAAAATTGGAATAATCGCCTTCTTTAGCAGTATTCTCGTATTTATAATAAAAATCCGTAAAGTTTCGAATACCCGCTAAATAATAGTCTAAGGTATGATTAGCGGGATCTTTCTTCTGTCTATAAAATAGTAAGTAATAAAATATAGAAGTAAGCTATAAAACTGTAATATCAAGTTGGGAATAATAAAAGAATATTAGTATTAATATTAAAATAATATATATTGAAAATTGTACTTTTACTTACTTAAAAGGAAACTTTATCACAAATGAAAGGATCTAGTTAAGGAGGAAAGTATTAATCAACTTCTTTTAGAAAAAGAACGAATAGATGTTCCTTTAGTGATCTGCAAACTTATAGTCAAAAGTCATCATACTCGATAAAATCTATGAATGGTCTCATACATGAGGCTCAACATCTCTTAAAAGGGGAGATAAAAAAATCAGAGACGCGTTATTTAAAGCAAAGAAGCGAAATTTATGAAATAGACATATCTCAAGAATGAGTATTAGATTTGATGACTAGTGTAAAAGTTGCTGTGATGAGGAGTTAGAAGAGACGATCAAATACGTTCACTATTCTTGTCCAGCGCATAACAAAAACAAAATGGCAACATTCGGTTATTATGTCTACAAAAATATTGTAATTTGTTACATTGATAAGATAAATCTCAGGAGTTAATATTCTACAGCGTTTCTACAAAGATCATCTGGTATCATAAAAGGCCACTTTAGCCTACAAAATATAACGAACACTCTAATCTAACTAGCTACTCATTTGACACTAGTTGAATATTATTAGAAGATAGATAGTATAGATAGTAAGAGTTATTTATGTAAAAGGTTTGTATATTAAATAATTTTAATTAATTAAATATTTTGTTGCATTATGTCTTATGAATATATTTAAAATAAAATTGAAAAATTTTTACTTTTCAGACATATGGTAAGTAACTTACAGCTCATTTGCATAGGACATAGCCTCTCGTAATGAGATGCGATTGTTACTGCATACTGACACTGCAGGAAATGGTACTTTCTCAACAGGAAACAATGGGTCCTGTAAATTGATGACAAAATATTGTCCAACAAATTGGTCCCATGAAAGTGAGAGTGCAACAATCACTACACAAAACATGGATACGTGTAGCGATAACCAGATAAGTCTGAAAAAAATCATGAAAGCAAATCACACTTAACTAAAATTATATATAAATGAATATAATAAATATATATTGGTATAAATAAATATATAAATAATGTGGTGTAATTGTACTTTTCCCAAACGGTGAAATTTGATGCAAACAAATATTTATAGCCATGCAAGGATATGTTGCGAAACAAGTCCTTAAAATCTCGATAAAAACTGTTGGGCTTTGTTTGTTTTTGTATCTTTTCCGCGTTGAGATTTGATGGAGTTTTTATCCACCAGGCAGCATTTGATGTGGCTTTTGTGGTTACGCGTAATGTTACTGGATAAACTTTTGTGGGCAACATTTGTATATTTAATTTAAATAGTTTTTTATTGTAATTTTATTTTATTTTGAATGCTTCAATATAATTAATTTACATATAATTTTATTTTTTATTTTAACTTTAGTGTTCTTTAGTGAACTTTAGTGTTCTTCCTTCTACCTATAGAAATGAACTAAATCCAGCTATAAAGATACTAGTGAGTTTTCTCTAATTAAACATTTCAAAACTTTTTTAACTAAGCAAGTGGGCGTGGTACACGTGTTTATCATTTGTATTATAAATATTAATGAGACCGAGCATTTAATGAAGTAGTAGGATTTGGTGTTAAACAGGACTGGTGTTAATGAATCCAAACAATTTTTTAAAGTGTTTTCAACATGGTTTCACAAGTATTAATGATACTTTTTCTTTTTTGTAACAATTAAAGGCAGCTTTTGGCCAAATAACTTTCACGAACGTATGTAAAGGACCTCCCTTACAGAGATACAGAAGTATGGGAAAAAGTCAAATATGTAATTTCACACTCAAAAGCCTTTTATTGGCAGCGATGTGATATTTAAAATTAATACCTTCGTTCAAGATGTTACTCGTACCTTTCCATCCTGCCAGCAGTCGTACAATTAGTGAGAAGTAATAAAAATATCAATTCATAGTTATGTCGCGTAACAAATGCCAGCCTTTAATATATACACAAATGTGCCTTGGCATCTTCCTTTACGAGTACATACACGTACTTGTAGATAGTAGGTAAACCTTTGAAATTTTAAAAATATCAAAATAAATGAGATTTTTTATTTTGGAACTACAATGAAAGTAAAAACAATATGCAACCGAGAGAAATACCTATTTAAGAGTATATAAAAGTGAGTATAAAAAGCTAAGTACACTCAAAGGACTTTTTTTCTTGCAAAGGAATAAACCCAATGAAGAATAAAATTATAATAAAAAAAAAATATATCTGTGTTTTTCTTTTATTTGTATTTCATTTTCTTTCCTCTAAAATATATTTCCTGGACATTAGCCAAACTATTTACAGTCTGGCAATCCAATTGAATAAACGAAATACATAAAACACATTTGAACAATTGTTTTTCTAAATACGGTGACTTTGTTCCTACTTATTGTATTATTCCGCTTTGGATTCCGTAAGTCCTTTTCAAATTGTTTACTTACCAGCAGACAAAATAGAGTTCTTTCATCTTCCAAATAAATTACGAAATTTTAAATGAAGTTTTTTATTTTTTGGTGAAATATTTTATTAACAAATCCTTTACAATTGTTAAGCTCGATTAGGAAGCTACATTCTGGCCAAATTTAATTTGTTCAACTTTATACCCATTTTTCATTTCATACAAATCTTCTTTTAATTACAGAATTTTTTAATCATCTTAAAATCGAATAAATATATCTAATAACCGAAATAGTGATAATTTACTTAATCCTCAATATTTAAATTAAAACTCTGAAATAGTTATATACAGAGGTAATATTGCAAATATTGCAGAGCAATTATTGATGCACTAACAAGATAGGTTTAGAGAAAAATGATCATTTCGGGAAGTGCGAAGAAACAAAGAAAAATCATTTCGAAAAGAAACAAAGAAAACTTTGGAACATGTGCTGTGTAGATACTTACCTCTAGGAAGAACATGGCCATAAAGCAGAGCAGAGTAGTAAGAGCAAGTAGTCAAACAGTAAACGGTCACAAAGCTTAAATTCACAAAGGACATATACATATTAAACTAATCAAATCGCAACTAAAATGATTTTAAATAAGTGTTGAAGTCAGATTAATTTATACCGGCGATTCCAAGGAATCTATTTAGGCTCATTCTGTTATCTTATATAGAAAAACGCTTTCAATCTTTGGTAAAGCCTATAATGTAATTCAAGTGGAGGTCTTGTAGTTCATCAAGATCTTTAAAAAAGAAAACTGCACCTAAAGTAAAGTTACAAAGTAGATGGAAGGTGCTTTCATCGTGTATTCTATACCTATGGCAGGTATGATACGTTGTCGGTTTTGCTGGGGTTAACCCCAAAGCCATAATTCAAGGTTTATTTAATTAATAAATTAAGATCATTTTGCTAAATCAAACTCATGAGTTGCACAGAAGGGAAACTCAATCAGGGCAGAGATGAGTTATACCCGGACAAGGCTAAATTACAACCAGAGAGCGCCAGTTATCTGGAGGCCTTTGTTTAAAGACATACTAAGTAAGCACACTCATTGGCACGGGTCAAATAACACCGAAGATTACAGCTTTTATAACTTGATTTTCTCTTTAGATCCATGATGTTCTGTTATTTCAATAAATAACATGAAAAACAGGTTCATCATGAAAAGAATAAGATATAGCATCACGCATCATGGTCTTAATATGGCACAGGCTTAAGGTGTATATATACTATATTATGAATGACCATACCCCGTTCAATGAAGAACGCGAACCCAAGTGTTAAGGTTATGCGACAACGAAATCCTAGTGATAATTAATAAACTCATTTAGATGAAACTATAAATGTGCTTTAACTCTACTTATGATGCTATTACTTCATACGTTTGGAGGTATGGAGGTCTGTGATTGACTATGCATTCAGAAAGGCGTTCACATCTATTGATATGAGGAATAATATGAGGAAATAATCATGGATTAGACTTTGACTTAAGTCAACTATTAATATAGCCAAACTGCTACATTGTCTTATGTAAAATAGTTATAGTTTTTTTTTTTCAATCCATATTAAGAAAATATTAAAGCATTTAAATTACTTCACAGTTACTGGAAAATTGTATATAGTTTTAAAACATCAAAATAAATTTTATTTTTATTATGAAAATATTCTGTGATTTGCGCGAATTATATACTTCTGCTTGATTTGTTAATTTAATAATTTTACAATTAAGTACTTTGACATTTTCATACGGTTCAATAAATGGAAATAATTGACAATAATTGAAAATTAAATCAATTTTGTTAATTTTATAATAAAGCAATTTATATTATCAATACAATTTTTAAATAATGTTAATACAAAATGTGTGGAATAATTAATTATATGTTATGTATGATGACAATTAATGAGCGGTACTTTTATAAATGAAGTGTTAATATATTCATAAATTGTTTATATTATACGTATATAATTTATATTTTACACCATTTTTTTTAAGTTGCTTAGAGTTGGTTCACATTTCAGATCATGTGCTGGACATTCAGTATCGCAGCTTACTTCAACCATTTAACGTGAACAACTTTTTTTTAATTTTTTTTTGTGTAGGTGGAAATCATCGAAAGCTATAATTCCACCTCTTAGTAATGATTGTAAAATAATGATTGCTCAGCAGATGCAACTATATTCCAGCAATGAAGGGCAGCGAGGACAGCCGATAGGTTTAATATTTAGCAAGCTAAATTCATCAAAGCAAAGAAGTATGGTCGAACTAACTTAGGAGGGGTGGTGTCTATAGGTAAAGTGGGTGGTATTGGTACAGATTTACAGAAGGTATAGCTAAGTGCTCGGGAAAATAGCAGCTCCGGTTGCAGAATGGAATGGATGTGAGTTTAATGCAATGTCGTTTAGCCTGTAAAGGCTTAAGAACACAGTGCTCTAAAAAATACATTTATTAAGATAATGCGCCAATAAACGCCCCATTGATTATTCCAAGGAATTTCCACCGACACCAATAGAAGTTGACATAACTTCTTCCTTGGTAAAAAGCGATGCCCATCCCACCTCTGCTGATCAACTCCTCGCCGAATGTAAGTAAAATGCAATCATTCTTCCCGCGTAAGTTTGGATGTTAACTACAGTTACAATGACACTGCCAACATCAGTTAGTCAGGACAGCCAATGCTGCGTGCTTTGGCTACCTGATCCCAGTGGTACTAGATTTACACCTTCTGTCGGGTGTCGCAAGTGGGAACACTCACTTACTACTATTCACACTCCAAACAGTGTCGAAATAGCGTCGGGATTTCAGTCGCCTCTTATGACAGGCAAGCCTTACCTCGGGAATATTTTAACCCCTTACCCGTAGGGGGAAATGGGTGGAGGGTGTACAACCTCTGTGAACAACTGACCCTATTCGAATATTAAATAGTCCTTCAAAATAAAACCATACTATTTGCGGTCACCTGACACCCATGGTACCAGATTTATACCTCTTGTCGAGCATCGCAAGTGGGGACATTTACTTACTACTATTCAGACTCGAAACAGTGTCGAAGTCGCCTATTATGACAGGCATGGATTACCGCGGAAATATTCTAACCCCTTTCCCGTAGAGGGAAATGGGTGGAGGGTGTGCGACCTCTGTGAAACCATACTATCTTTTATTGAGCGTTCGCTAATATTAGGCAGGGATATTAGCTTCCATGTCAGTATTATTATCAGTATTATATTCTGTCCAAGATCATAGTCACACATTCACAAAGAGTGTGTATAGAAATCTTATATTCTTTCAAGCAGAAACAATAGTAAAGTCTCTAAATAAAACCTTCCTTTTTTATTACACAATAATTGTTATCTACTTATAAATCATATCTAAATCAATGAAAATATATATTAATGATTAACTTAATATACTTCCATTGAACAGTAGAGTTAATAAATATACAAAGCATTTAATAAATGACATATAGTTGTATTTAATTTTTAATTTTTAGCAAAATAATATTTTTTAATTCAATACAACAAAAGTATTTAACATAAAAAAATTTAACATTTATTAAGTTATTTTTTCGTTTTGTTTTTAATGAATATTTCAATTTTACAGTACGTGTCAGATACAATTAAAATTAAATGAAATGGCTCTTTAAACATCACATGTACGAGTATATATTTTCTTATTAAAAAAACTGTATTTAAAAATTAATCTGCTTACCAAATAAGTTTGTTGTGGGAATGATTAAAAATTTACACATTTCCAGGCTTTCAACTACACAATAAGGACTCAAAGCTGCGTGAAAAAGTTTTGTTTATGTGTAAATTAAGGCTAAATGTTGCCATACGAATCTGAA